ACTGATTCAAATAGCTTTAATGTAAACTATAATTGTTAGTTTTGCATTATTTTATTTAAAAATAAAAAAATAATTAAGAAATTAAGAAATAAAAAAATCAAAAAAAATATAATATATTATTTTTTTAAATAATTTGATCAAATTAAGTTAAATTAAATCAGATCAGGTCAGGTCGAATCGGGTCAAATAAAAATTTAAATCAGGTCAAATTTTTATTTGACCTGACCTGACCCTCTTAGTTCAGGTAACTTAATTGACCTGACCCGAACTGACCTGTTCAGAGCTTTAGTTTGTGCTGATCAGAAAATATGGCAAATCAGACGTAAATAATATCAAAATCAGCCTAAAATTAGCCATCTGATTTTTAGCTAATTTGGACTATTTCAACTAGTGATAGGACTATCTTTCACTTTTTTTCACTTTATTTCAATAATCATAAAAGTCTTAAAAGATATTAATTATATTATTAAATTATATTTATCATTATATTATTATTTATTTATTTACTTATATTATAATTGCATACTAAAATTTCTCTACTTCTGCTTATATTAATGAGTAGAATATATTGTATTATATCTGCAATTTATTTGTCAGAATATACTTTGCTAAAATCTTATTTTATTGTCTTTGTATTTGATATAATATTTATCATTTCTCCTTCTTCTTCTTTTACTAATAAATCTATTTCATTATTCTTTTAAATTATTTTTATAATTATTTTATATTTAATTTAAAGATGTAAAATTAAATAATTTAAAGGTAAAAATCAATAATTTAAGATTCAAAAGGTAAAAAATTATGTTATAGTAAAAATACTTTCCTTTATAAGTAAATTTATCTATTTGATTTGATATTAAAGATGGTACTGCAACTTATTGCAACCGGTGACAAATAAGCATCACAGAGTTGCAATTAGTTGTAATATTAATAAAAATTAAGTTGCAACTAGTTGCAACTAATGACAAATAAGTATCACATAGTTGCAACTAATTGCAACGCTATCTTTATTTGATATTTATAAAATTCCATACTCATGATTAAAATAATATAATAAGAACTCTTCATGATCAAAATTCTGATATATATTAAAAAAAAGTCAAAATAATAATTTAAGCACTATATTATAATTATGCATCATATTATTTATAAATATTAAATCACTCCTAATAAGCAAAATTTATAATTAAAATAATACAATAAGAATTCTTTATGATTAAAATTCTGATTTATATTAAAAATAAAAAGTTAAAATAATAATTTAAGTATCATATTATTTATAAAAATTAGATTAATCTAAAAATAACTTATGCAAATTTATTAAATATAATATATTAAACAATTAGAGTAGTTCTATAATAATAAATTATCACTTTAATGATAAATAAAAATCATTATGAAATTATTCATTACAATTTAATACAAATTCAATAAAAAATTGATCAAAATTATAAAAATAATGTGAATTCTCAATACAATTTTAACAAGATTTCAAAGATATTATTTAATTATTATAGTGTTCTCTCATATTATAATGTAGAACCTCTATAATAGGAACATCCTTATAATAAGAATTTTCAACCTTCAAACATATATAACTCTATTAATAATAAAGATATAAAAATTTTAACTAATAAATTAGAAAGTTTGAATTAAAATCTAATCATTTTTACAGTTAGATTTTAAATTTATGCATGATAAACAAAGTTTTTACACAATGAAGTTACACTAATTTAATTATAAGCACTAAAATTGAGAATATGCCAATTTGTATAATACTCTAAAAAATATTTCAATTGAAATTAATATAATGAACTCAGGATATAACTTTGTTTTTAGAATTTCAGTTATTCTTCTCAGTATAATGTAAATTTAATACTTACTGTTATTTTTTTTTGTTAAATTTACACATTTTCAAATAAATTTTAATAAATTTTGAAAAAGTTTATCTTCATTTATTATACCATTATCACATGTATCAAGATTAGCCAAAAAATGAGTTGTAAAATAAAAATATGATAAAATAGATAAATTTAAATCAAATAAATGATATAAGGATGATAACAATGATGACTTTATTTCTGAATTAAGCAGCTCAGATAATTTTTATTCAAAAGATAGTAATTCTGATTCTAAAGAATTTTTAAATCAAAAAAATGCAATGCCTATCTGAATTTAAATTAGTATAAACTGATAATACAATGATTGAACAAAAAAAAAGCATCATATATTGACAATTTGATTATAACATATTATTGAAAATATGGATCACAGTGAAGTTTTTCTGTAGCAGTAAAGAAAACAAGTTCTCTTTTTAATTTTTTTTAAATCAATAAAAGACTTAGCTGAAAATGAACTTGTTGTAGATTTAACAGGTAAATATATATTTTTTTTATTGAATACTTAAATCGTTATTAAAATTAATTTATAAATATTGATTTAAATTAAACAATTTAATAATATATTAGATGATATTGATAATGATATATCCACTGATACAAAAGATAATAACAATGCATTGGCTAATATAAAGGATGATAATAATGCATTGATCAATGCAAAAGACAATAATAATGCATTAGTTGATATAAAGGGTAATATAATGCATTAGTTGATATAAAGGGTAATATAATGCATTAGTTGATATAAAGGATAATAATAATACATTTGCTAATGCAAGAGATGATGATTCATCGACAGGTATAAAAAATGATAATTTATTAGCTAAAGGTAATTCAGAAACAGGGTTTTTAGATGATTAAGATGTTGAAATAAATAGTTTGAATTTGATGAAAATATCATATCAAGAATTAAAAAAAGTATAGATAATGATATTCAAAATAATAATGATTGTGATTTTAATTAAAAATTACAAAAATTAGAACAAATTATTTTGAATAATAATAAAAAGTAAAATGTATATGATTACTTATAAAGATGGCGCCTCAATTAGTTGCAACAGGTGATAAATAAGCATCACAATGTTACAACGAATTGCAACATTATTAAAATTTAAGTTGCAACAGGTAACAAATAAGTGTCACAATATTGCAACGCCATCTTTAATTACTTAAGATACCAGTCTATACATGCATATTTTATATATTGGAAAAAAGATGGATTAACACAGATGAAAATAAGTGAGAAAGCATCAGAGAAAATTTATAATAAAGGAATTTATAGATCTAAAGTAATTCGTAAATTAGATGATTATTAGATTAAATATAATGCATTACCTATTTCATCATAAGATTATCATCAAAAATAAAATCATTTATTGATGATGAGGATATTATTAATTGTAATTTGACATATATTCATTCTAATAGTAGAAGAATAACATCACAATAGTATAGAGAATTTATAATATCAAAACTTTTTTCTCAAGTGAATATTATAAGATCAATATTAATAAAAACAGCAAGAATATGGCTTTATAAGTTGGGTTTGGCTCCTCAATCTTGAAAAAAAGGTGTATATTTTAATGGATATGAATGTGAAGATGTATTACAATATTGGAAACAATTTTTAAAAACTATAGCAGAATTTGAAAAACTAATGCTAACATTTATTGGTGATAAAGTGCAAATGATTCTTTCAGAATTTAAAAATAAAGAATAGTTACATATTTTAGTAATACATAATAAATGCCTTTTTTATACTAATGATAATCATCTGATTGTTTAGGCTTCATTAAGTAAACTATCGCTTAGAAAGAAAGGTCAAGGCAAATCTATAATAGTTAGTGAATTTTTATTGAAAACTATTAGACAACTTAAACTTACTAATAAACTTGTTACAAATTATTCAAATATTCCTAAAGAAGTAAGAAAATATTTACATCTAATAAAAATGATGAGGATCAGTAGATTGTAAATCATCTTTTAGATTAAGTAATAAATTTAGCGATTCTAATCTTTGAAATATTATATTCTAATACAATAGCTGTTTTTGCATTTAATAATAGTACCAATTATAATGCAATAGCAAAAGATAGATTAAATGCTTTTAAAATGAATATAAATCTAGAAAGAAAATAATCATATATATATTTAACTTATTATGGATCAAATTAATCTTTTCAATCTATAGTTTTTCTACATAATCATTTAAAATATCCAAATCAACCAAAAGGTGTGAAACAAATATTAATTAAAAAAGGTTTATAGAAAAATAATTTATTGGCTGATTATCAGTTATATAAAGAAAAACAAAAGTTATAAATATAAATAGAGTAGATTGTTATGCATGTCAAATTTTATCATTATAGTTAGATTTCTTAGAACAAAAATCTTAACTTCAAGAAGAAATTGAAAAGTGTGATCATAAATGCATTTTTACCTAAATATCATTATAAGTTAAATTATATAGAAATGTATTGGGATGCGACAAAGAGATACACAAGAGAATATTATAATTATACATGGATATGATTGTAACAAACAGTTTCTAAAGCTTTAGATTTAGTTCTTTTAATTATAATTCGTAAATATGCACAAAAATTATGGTGGTATATAGATATTTATAGAAAATATATTACTGGAAAAATGGCAGAATTTGCTGCTAAAAAATATAAATCTTATTATCATGTACCTAATAGTATTTATAATAAAATAAAATAAATAATTTACATAATATATTGAATTCTAACTTTTAATTGGCTAATATTATAATTATGTGATAATTACATAATTTAATAAAATTAAGAATTTTAAAAAAATTTTAAACTAATTCCTTTTTACAAATAAAATTTAATTTTTTTTATTAAATTGAAATCTGATTACTAATTCAAATTTTATTTATAATTTTCTAACTTGCTATTATAGAAGTTCTGCATTATATTATCATCTTATACTATTTTATTATATTATTATGTAAAAAATATAAAAAAAAATACTAAAATTATTAATGTAAAATAAAATACATATAATATAAAAATATATAAAAAAATAAAAAATTCAATTATATTTAACAAAACTATTAAAGTTATTTGTTATACAGAAATAAATTACTATTTTAAAGCTTTTTTTTAAGCTTTTTAATTAACTTTAATTCTTTATTATTCACTTTTTCCTATTATTTTAAATAAAATTACTTTATCAAAAGATTCAATAGCTTCACTATAGATAATAGTTGGTAAAGGATCCTTTTTTTTTCTTTATCTTGTTCATTAAGTACAACTGTCTTTAAAATTTCTTCATTAGATATCATTTTGTTTATAATTTTAAACTTATAAAATTGATAAATTCTTTGATAGTTAAAGGGTTATCAAAATCAAGTTTATCAACTAAAATTTGAACTTTTTTTAACTTTTTAAGATATTTAAGCTCAAGTTTAATTTCGCTTTCTTTATCATTATTATTAGGCAAAAAATTTGCCTTTATCTAACAATTTTTAATAGTAAAATTTAAAACATTATCTCATACTTTTAAAATATATTTTATACATTATTTAATATTAATTTCCTCAAGTTTGATATTAAATTTATTAAAATTATCAAAGGTTTTGACTCAATTTTATAGATATAACTTGTGATACTATGTTTAAAATAAATTAAATTTTAATTAAAGTATAAATAAAATATAAAGTATAATAATATTTTAATCAACTACAATTCTTAGCTTATAATTATTAATTATTTCTTGATTATAAAGTTAAAAGTATACCATAGTATTTAAAGGTAAGTGTTCAATGGTGATATTAGTTAAATGAGTAGTTTTATATAGAACATATATAAGAGTATTATTAACAATAAGAAGAATATTTCAATTTTACTTTTTACTTTAGGTATTAAGTTTTTTAATATATTCATTTTAAATTAATATCTGCATCTAACTTTTTTGATTCTAGTAATAATTTACTAGAAGTTTCTTTTTATTGATATTTTTAAAAGCTCAAAAATTTTATACTTATATATGAATAAAAAAGGTAATTTTATATTCCTGATTATATTACAAATAAAAAGGATAGATATACAATCTTTTGACTATTTTTTCTGAATACATACTTATTTAATATCATATGATTAAGTTTTATTTTCAAAATAATCCTATTTCATCATAATTAAAGATATCTTTAGAATTATAATTTTTTAAAGTTTGATAAAGACCTTTTTATATTGTATCAAGATTTTGAAGTGATGTACTTACAGCTTTATCATATATGTTATGTTATTTTAAATTATGTTATTTCTTAAAGTTTTCAACTCATCTATTAAACCTTTGAATTTATTTTCTTTAATTAAAAAGTAAACTTAAAGACCTTAGTTTAAAGAATATTATTAGTTATAATAAGACTAATTTGGATAGCATTTTTTATTCAAATGGTAAATGCTTTTTCAATATTAAGAAAAGGTAATTTTTTTCACATTTTAAACTAATTTGATATAAATTAAGATCTATATTAAATTATGATTTTTTGCTTTAAAATATCATAAATCATTCCTGTATTAACATCAAACTCAATAGTTAAATCTTTATTTTTTTTAAAAAAGACAAAGATAATTTTTTAAATAAACCTTTTTTTTTTATATTATAGTAAGGAATTTATGTTTTTTAAAGATCTCAGGTAAAATTAAAGTTGACTTTATTTTTAGTATTTTAAAAAAAATTTTGTAATAAAAAAAGTAAAATAGAATACATGATATTTTTTTAAAAAAAATATGTAATGAAAAATAAAATGAAATATAATGTATAAATGTAAAATATAAAGTGCAAAAATCTATTTTTCTTAATTTATTTAATATTAAAGAATGCATATTTATTATATTTAAAAAAAATAAATAAATGTTAAATTATTTTTTATAGTCAAAATAATTTATTTTTAATTTTTCACATCTTTGAAAAAAATCTTCATTATATCAAAAAAAATTTGATATATATAAATTTTCTAAAAAAAATTTTATTTATATATGCTGTATTAATAAACTATAATTTATTAAATATTATACAGCATTTATTCTAGTATAATTTGATATAACAAGACTTTTTTATATGAAAAAATCTGTATATTACTAAACATTCATTATAATGTGAAATTTGTTATATTAAAATTTATTATATAAAGGGTTGATTATATATCTTTTAAATTTAAAATATGTTTTTTTTTCTGAATTAATAATAGGAGATTTATAATAAATAAAATTAACTAAGATAGCAATAGTCAATTTAATTAAAGCTTACTTAATAATATTTGTTTTATTTTTAATAATAATATTATTAGAAATATGTTAAATTTCTAACCAAAAATCTTTAGATTTTTTATTCACAAAATGTTCTTTAACATAAAAATTAAGAATTGATAATTTTGAATAATTTTTGTAATAAATTTTAAAGTGATTACATTTAAGCCTATAATAAGCATATCATTATCTAAATATATAGATTTAATAGTGATTATTAGTATTCAGCATAGATTTAGATCGATCTGAATCCAATCTGAAACTGATGAATTAGATTCAGATTGGATCTGTCAGATTCAGATCTAATTCAGATTCAGATTGGATTCAGATCAAATCCGTCAGATCTGAATTCAGATCTTGAATTAATTATCAATTAATAAATTGATAATCTTTTTTTGTCAATATACTGTTGTAAATTTCTTTCTTTAGAATTAAAGAAAGCAAGTTTACCAACTTCAGCTGCGATAAGTAAATATATTTTTTTTTAATATTTTTTTTTAAATATTTGTTTTATTTTCTCTTTTTTGCTATTTGTTAATATATTTTTAATTTATTTTAGGGTTCGTGTCTAGTAATAAGGTA